GAGAAGTCTTCTCCGCCCCTAACCATGGCAGATTTCAGATTAGAGCCAAATCGCTAGACTACCTCAGCTGCTGCACGCTAATCTACAGGCTAACTGAATGTAGCCTAAGAGCAGATCATCACACTTTATTGTGATAATTCCATTAGTTTGAGGATTCAACGCATAAAATTAACAGCAGAGAGAAAAACCTCCAGAAACCTGCATAGCAACATGCTAGCAACCATCCATTGCTAGCAGCAATCAGAATAAATGTGGAAATACGGATTTTATCCATGAAATGGTTCAGCAGAGTAGAAGAAAATCACCTAGCAAGCACCCTAGCAACTCCTTAGCAAACGCTTAGAACACCCTAGGAATTGCATAGCAACAGCCTAATAATCAGAATGAAAGTGAAAATGAAGACTCCATGCATACAGTGATCAACAGAGTAAAAAAAAACATATAGCAACTATCCAGAAGACCCTAGCAACTGCATAGCAACATACTAACAACCAATCAGAACAAATGTGTAAATTAGGATTCTATGCATACAATGATCTGCTGAATAAGAAAGCTACCTAGCAACTGCATAGCAACATGCTAATATGGTTGTTGCTTACAATGATCAACAGAGTAAGACAAGCACCTAGCAACCATCCAGAACACCTTAGCAACACTCTAGCATCCACCCAAACAGTCTAAACACAACTATCCAGATCACCCTAGCAACTGCAGAGCAACATGCTAGAAACCAATTAGGACAAATGTGGAAATGAGGATTCTATGCATAAAATGAGCAACAGAGTAAGAAAACTATCTAGTAACCACCAGAACACCCTAGCAACTGCATAGCAACATGCTATCAATTAATTTAAACAAATACAGAAATGAGGATTCTATGCCTACAATGATCAGCGGAGTAAGACAACTACCTAGCAACCACCCAGAACACCTTAGCAACGCCCTAGCAACCAGCTTGAACACCCTAGCAACTGTATTTTCAGAAAATGTAAAAACCTAATTCCTTTATAAAACCATGCAAAACAAAACACTAGCGAAGTACACTAGATAATTAAGAGACGTCTGATACATGCTGAGAATACAATTCCAACACACACACACGCACACACACACTGGCATGTGTAGCACAGATATAACTAAGAGTGCAGATTTAATCAGAAGGATCAGTATTCAGAAGCTGTAGCTTATCCAGTGCAGAGAACAACACTCACATCATATGGAAATAGATACTGTTTGAGAACATTATCAATCTACCGCTGCTCATCACAACAGTCCTGATCTGCTGGTTGACCTTCAACCCTTGACAAGGATAATGGCATGACTGGGGCTTGCTTAAGATCTATTTAACACCTAAATAGGCATTAAAGGTGAATTTGCATAAAACATTCTTGATGATATGCAGACACATGTTGTTCCAAACCTGCATGACTTTCTTTTTCTATGGGACACAAGAGATAATTTTCTTCCAGACACCGAAAGTCAATGAAGTGTAATAAATGTTTTGTATTGTATGGATAAAAACTTATTTTGTATTTTCTTTTGTACTATACAGTTCAAAAGTTTGGGGTTAGTAAGATTTTGTTTTGAAAGAAATTAATACTTGTGTTCAGCAAGGTTGCATTAAATTGATCAAAAGTTAAATTTATAATGTTACAAAAGATTTATATTTCAAATAAATGCTGTACTTTTGAACTTTCTATTCGTCAAAGAATCCTGAAAATGAAAAAATGTATCATGTTTCCACAAAAAAAAAATGTTTTCAACTTTGATAATAATCATAAATGTTTCTTGAGCAGCAAATCAGCATACTACAATGCATCACATGAATAAATTAAATAATAAACTATATTAAAATAGAAAAGGGTATTTAAACTGTAATAATATTTGACAAATTACTGTTTTTACTGAATTTTTAATCAAATAAATGCAACCTTTGTGAACATAAGAGACTTCTTTCAAAAACAACCCCAAACTTTTGAAAGGTTGTTTACATCACTAAATGCATCCTTTATAATGCACTAGCAATAGAAAAGGTAACAAAAAGATATATGTGATAATATATTGGCTGATACTGGAAATTTAATTGTGCATGCTTATTTTCTCTATTTTTACATTTAGATTTCCTTGCCGTCAACTAACGCACACTTAAAATTAATCTTTAAAAACACAAATAATGTATTTAGTTAAATGTGATTTATCATAATTACAAGTGATTTTTTTAATACTGTAAATTTTAAATTTTCTGATTCTGATTCACTTGTAGCATTTAAATAGATTTTTAATAGATTTTTTGTTTTGTTCTTAATTTACTTAGACAAAATAGCATAGAATCAGACATTTATTGTTTATTGGCCATAACATGAACATAATTATTGGCTGATCAGGAACTGACATTAAAATAAGTAGTTAAATATTGGTGCATCCTACTCACTAGTCAACTAGTCAGTTGTTGGACAACTAGTTCAGCATGCACGTCCATCCCTACTCCAAAGCTCACCACATGAACACAAGAACGACGACAAAGCAGAAAAGAAAACCTGCAATCTTCCACACAACAGATGAGGTTTTCTCAAGGTGTGCACTTTCCCAAGATCTCTTATATAAAACTCTATTATCTCCATTATGACCTGTAAAGCTATAATACTCGCAGTAAACGCAAGAACCGAGAGGCTGATGGGTAACAGGTCATAGAGAAAATGCATCCACCGAATCCTGATACAGCTAAAAGTCTGAGTATGTGTGCTTGTGTGTGACAATAACTATTTTACACCAGGGCCTAATGAAGTGCTTTGTCACACACACACACACACACAAACACACACTTATATGCAGCTCATTCCACGGCTACTCCCCGTAAAGCATTCATTTTCCAACGCGGGAGGGGAAAAAAAGAAGTAGTGAAGACGGGGGGGAAAATGTGCAGCATTGTTACGCCCGGCAAATATATTATTTGACTTCACTCAAGTGCACTGACAGGACGGAGAGAGAGAGAGAGAGAGAGAGAGAGAGAGAGAGAGAGAGGGCGGGAGAAGGGGAGAGA